CGAGGCTTTGGACCCAGGCGACTCCAGCGAAGGGCCAGCTGCGGGGTTGCCGACGGGCTCCGCAGCGGAATTGGTTACCGTCCGGAACGAAGCAAGAGAGGGAGGAAGCATCCAGGAGGGAGATGCCGTGCCGACCACTTCATATGAGGTGGAGACCGTGATGACGACAACTCCCAAGAAGAGGAAGGAGCTGCGTCTGCGCTTGGACCGGACGGGCGTGAGGACTTACATAGCGAACGTCCCAGCTGCGGGACCAAAGGAGAAGGCACCGACATCTGCGAGAGCGGAGGCGCCGCTCCCTAGGAGGGGTAGACCACGCAAATACCCCAAGGAAATGAGGATCCGCGTAGTCGAGGGCGAAATTGTTAACTCGCCCATAGCGGAGAGTGTCTCAGTTGACACGCCAGTCCAGAGTGGATCGACTAAGGATCTGGACATAGTAGACCTCTCGTCATGCGCCTCAAGTGTGGAAGGAACCGGGGTGGAGACGGAGCAAGGTGATAGCACAACGGGAGGAGAAATGATACCGTCTACAGCGGAGGACTCGGGGGACCTATCGTCCTCCTTCGACCAGGTTCCCAGGAAAGGGAAAAAGAGAGGGCGGAAGCCAAAAGGAACAAACTGCCCAGGATCCCATGCCCTGTCCAAGCTCTCGTCAAAGAGGATGGACTACGAAGACGATGAGCTGGACAGGATTGACTTCTTCAAGGTCACGAAGAAGGATGGACATGGACTGAAGAAGAGAAAAGGGCTTGTAGAATGCAATCTGGATGACAGATTGACATCAGGTCAGAAAGATGCTATCGAAGAAATTACGATGCTGTTCCCGCAGATGTCCCCAAAGACAGTGGAGACCCTGCGGGTGCTAGAGATAACTGGGGAAGCGGAAAGGAAGACCCAGTCAATGAAAGGGGACTTCCGCCGCCACATTAAAGTGGGTGTTAATGTGGCCAAAGTGGCTGTACAAAGACTGGCCTCCGAAATAGTCAAATGTACAGGGCCGGTGGACGAGACAAGGGCTGCCAACAAGGCCCTAGAAAAGGAGATTGTCAAGCTCCGCCAGGAGGTATATACCCTGCGACGTGAGAGAACAACCATGAATGGCCAGATCAAGGCTCTGCAGCAAACAGTCGAGGAGTTAAGAGAGGAGAGCAGAAGACGAAGCCGCGACAGGAGTCGTGCTCTCTTCTCGGAAGGGGAGGCACACGGAGGAAGATCCCCAGTCAGGACTCGCGGACGAGCTCGAGAGGAGCACACTGTGCGGGACAGAGGATATGAGCCGGAAGGAGTGCGGCGAGAGAGTGAAGACAGAGACCTTCCACCGGCATACCGCCCGCCCATCGGAGGGACCCGGAAGAGACTAGAGGACGGGCCCTCACGACCGACGAAAGTGGACGAGGATGGAAGAATAGTGACGGATACAGGACGTCCTACCTCAGGCCAACGGGGTGACTCCTATGCAGACAGGACGAGGGCCGGACTGGAGCGCGACGATGGGGAGCTCGGACTCGGGGGCGGCTTGGGCCCGGAGTCCTCGATTCCGCCGTCCGACTACCCGGCAAGCGGGGAGGCGTGGACGGAAGCCCAAAGCAAAAGGGCGCGCAAAAGGGCAAGGAAGAAGGTGCGGAAGGATCCAGCTCCTGAAGAGATAAGGACGGAGAAGAGCGCTGGAAAGGGCCTGGGCCGGACTGGTATGCCTCCCCCCCAGGCCGGGGGTGGAGGCGCCGGAGCGCGACGTACCGGAGCCAGAAGTAACGTGCCGAGGGTGGGCGTGCGCGGTGGGGCACTGAGCGGCCCCGCCACGACCGTCGTGTCTCATCCCCGCGATAGGGGTCCGGGAGACGCGGGACAACGACCTCCAGCGAGAGCGAGAGACACGAGATTCAGGGCACCGAGAACATCAGCGGTGCTGGTCAAGTGTGCGGAGAATGAGGGCAGACCGGGAGCGGCGACCTATGCCGAGGTCATGAGGATGGCCAGAAATAAGATCTCTCTGGAGGACCTCGGCATAGCCAACACCCGCATCAGAAAGGCCCAAGCGGGGGGTTTGCTAATAGAGATTCCGGGCGGAGAGGAGGCTGGAGCGAAAGCCGAGGCTCTGGTGGAAAAATTCAGAGCGGTCCTTGCCGATAGTGAATTTAAAGAGGACGTCAGAGTCGTCAGACCAATGCGGCGGGCAGAAATAAGGGTAACGGACATTAACCAATCCGTTACAGCTGAAGAGGTGGCGGAAGCCATTGCGATTAACGGCCAGGCCTCAAAAGCCGACATAAGGGTCGGCCCTCTCAGGCCTGGAAGAGGAGGCCTATACGCCGTGTGGGTGCAGTGCCCACTGTCCTGTGCCAACAAGATCTTGGGCAAAGGACGATTGAGAGTGGGCTGGACCTCGGCGGGAGTTGTACCCCTGGCGAAACGGAGGCTCCAATGTTTCCGATGCCTCGCGGTGGGGCACACTAGAGCCAGCTGTATGAGCCAGACGGATAAATCCAACTGGTGTTTCCAGTGTGGCAGTGACGACGGGCATAAAGCCAACGTATGCCGGAGATCCCCCAAATGCCCGGTCTGTACTAGCAGAGGAATGCTTTCCGGACACAGGGCAGGCTCGGCCGAGTGTGTGCCGTTCAACGGAAGGGGACGGACAACGAACCAAGAGGACGCGCGTGCCGATACGGCAATAGAGATAAACACCGGAGCTGATCGGGGAGCCCCGGCCCCTGAAGAGGGGACACAGGAGGACGAAATGGGGACCTGTCATGGCTAGGTTGGCGCAAATAAACGTCAATAGATCTAGACCATCACAGGACATGGTCTCCAAGGTGAGCGAGGAACTGGGGATTGGGCTCGTTGCTATCTCGGAGCTCAACCGAGCTCCGGGCGATGAGAGGTGGTTGCCCTCAACGGACAACCCTCCTTCAGCGGCAGTTACGTGGCAGTGGGCCCAGACTAGGATACCGTGCTCCCCGCTCTGGAGGGGCACCAGGTTTGCAGCTATGGAATGGGGGGAGACGATAGTGGTGTCTTGCTATTTCCCCCCCAGCTTAAACGACGACGAATTCCTCAAGAACCTACGGGAACTGGAGGCCAAGCTGAGGATGGCTGCTGGGCGCCCCATCATCATCGCGGGCGATTTCAACGCCCGCGCCTTAGCGTGGGACAGAGGCGGACGGAATAGGAGAGGCGATCTCCTGCTGGACTGGATGACTACTCTGGACCTCCAGATAGTTAATGAGGGACACGTACCGACTTGTGTCCATCCGCGTGGAACTTCCCGGGTGGATCTCACGGTGGCGTCGCCCTCCACAGCCAGGAGGATCGTGGCATGGAGGGTTGTCACGGAGGTGGAATCCCTCTCGGACCACCGATACGTGATTACGGACCTGGGGACTCATATCACCGGTCCGGAAGTTGGGAAAGCGGCCCTCCGAGCCTTCCCAAGGTGGATGGTTAACAAGGTGGATCCAGACTTGATGGAGGCCGCGGCGATGTGGGCGACCTGGAGCAATATACCACCCGACGCTTCCAGGGGAGCCAAATGTATGGACAGGATGTTGCAAGACATCTCAGATGCATCCATGTCGAGGAGGGGTCTACCAAGGAGACCGTACACCTACTGGTGGAACGAGGAGGTGGCGGAGCTGCGCAAGACCTGTAACGCGTGTAGAAGAAGGGTGACGCGGGCGCGGAGACGCGGTAATGTACCTCCCGAGAGCATGCGGTTACTTTGGGAGGAGCTGCGCGACAGAAGGCGGGACCTTAGAAGGGCGATCACTCGCTCCAAGGTAAAACTTTGGAGGGATATGGTGGACGACCTTGAGCGAGATCCATGGGGTACTCTCTACCGGGTGGTGCTGCGGAAACTGCGCGCGGGAGAGGCGTTCGTGGTGGAAGTGCTTCCCTATGAGACGGTGGAGGAAATAGTGTCTACACTGTTCCCTGCGGATCGATCCCCGCAGGGAGGAGTGTCGGCATTCGAATGGACGAACAAGTACGCGGTGACGCCAGTTGAGGTCCTAGAAGCCGGTGTAGGGGTTAAGACCGGTAAGGCCCCGGGTCCCGACGGCGTGGCGGGAAACGTCATTAAGAATACGATGAGGCATCTGGCTCCTTCGTGGGCCAGATGCTTCACTGAGTGTCTCAGAGGGGGGTGCTTTCCACAACAATGGAAGGAGGCCAGATTAGTTTTAATAAAGAAGCCTGGGAAGCCTGACCTGGCCCCGTCGTCGTACAGGCCGATATGCCTGTTGAGCGAGGCGGGTAAGCTGCTAGAAAGGGTTATTGTAGGTAGGCTCCATTCATACCTCGAGGAGACCAGGGATATCGCGGACGGGCAGTATGGATTCAGGCGGCACCGCTCCACAATGGACGCCGTCTGGAGCCTTAGAGAGCGAGTCAGGGAGGGTACACGGGAGGGAGGAGTCGTAGTCGCTGTATCGCTCGATATAGCGAACGCGTTCAACTCCCTCCCCTGGCCCGTGATCAAGAACGCGATGGAGAGAAAGGGTGTCCCGGGGTATCTCCGGGGCATCATTGGCAATTATCTGTCGGAGCGTGGCTTGGCGTACGTGAATCGTAGGGACGTAGTAATACGCAAGCCGATGACGTGCGGGGTTCCACAGGGCTCGGTCCTTGGGCCGACCCTGTGGAATGTAGGATATGATGAGATATTGAGGCTACACCTACCGATAGGGTGCACGACCTTGTGCTACGCGGATGACACCCTGGTGATAGCCACTGCGGACGGCTTCGAGAGTGCACGAATTAGGGCGGAGTTAGGCGTCACGGCTGTCGTGCGGGCGATCGAGCGATTGGGGCTGAGGGTGTCGGTCTCGAAGACCGGGGCCGTCGCCTTCGCTGCTGACGATATTCCGGCGGGTGCCGCCATCCGTATCGGGGGGGAGGTGGTCTCGATCGGCTCCGCCGTGAGATACCTGGGGTTAACCCTGGACTCGCGGTGGACCTTTCGGGAGCACTTCCGGGTACTTATGCCCAAGGCGTGGGGCATGGCGGCCTCCCTCGCGAGGATCATGGCCAATATTGGCGGACCGGGCGAGCGAAGACGCCGAACGTATGCGTCGGTGGTTATGTCGGTCGTCATGTACGGCGCCCCGATCTGGGCGCAGACGGCGGCTGTGGACCGTGGCATTGTTAAGGGGGTGGAGAGGCTGCAGAGGCAGCTCGCCCTAAGAGTGATCAGGGGGTATCGCACCATCTCTGGTGTCGCTGCGGCCATCCTCTCGGGGATGGTCCCTTTCGATCTTGCCGCGGACCGTCTGCGAAGGTCTTATCTCCGTAGACGGGAGATTATCACTAGGGATGGTGCGGTGGCCCCTGGCGCGAGCGCGGCCCTACTCGAATTTGAGCGTCGAAGGGCGATCTCGAGATGGGGCAGGCGGCTGGAGGAGCTGCCCCCAGGCGGGCCGGGCGCCATTATACGAGAGGCCATTGGCGATGATTTGGAGGCGTGGACGGGGAGGGCGCAAGGCGCCCTCACTTACCGCGTAACACAGGTGATGGCGGGACACGGGGTGTTCGAGTCCTATCTTTATAGGATAGGACGAAGGGACACCCCGATATACCTGTTCTGTCGCGCGGCTAATGATACGGCGGGGCACACTCTTTTGTTTTGCCCGGCTTGGGCGGAGCAGAGGGGTGCCCTGCTGGAGATAATAGGGATAGATAGGACCCTTAGAGCGGTGGTGAGGGCTATTGTGCGCTCCCCTGAAGCATGGAGAGTATTCGCGAGTCTCTGCGAAGAGGTAATGAGGAGAAAGGAGGAGGACGAGCGGGCACGTGAGCGGGAGCGACTTAATCGACCCGAGGGAGTGCCGGTTCTCCCGGCCCTCCCCCTTCCTCCTCCTCCCATAGACGATAACTCCGACGAGGGGTAAGGAGGCGACAATAGATTTGATTCGTGTACATAGAATTGTATATAGATCATTGCTAGCAGTAAGTCTGTAAATAGATAATAGCGGTAATTAGACTTAGTAGTAAGTACGTATGTATATAGATAATAGCGGTAACCAGGCTAACTAGCATATCGAGATGGAACCCGTAAAATGGCGGTGGCGAGCCGGATGGCTCTCGGGACTTGGAGGTAGCCTGACGAGATGCTGGACTGCAGTTCCGGGCTGCCTCTTTTAAGTCGTGGCGGTAGTACGGAAAGGGGGGAGTTTTTAGTCGGTAGGCGGCTGTCTCGGCGCGTCCCCGCGGTACCTTGTACCCCGGGGATTACGAGGCGGTCGAATCCGGCACTCCCGACGGTACGGGCTGTCGGGGGTCTTCCCCTTCCCGATGGGTGTCCCGAAAGGGTCTCCCTCAGGAAGGGGTATACGAAGATTTTCTCCTCCCACGTAAAACAAAAAAAAAGGGTTTCCTAATATGAAGTGGTATCTCATAACAGGAAACTAAGGGAAAAAATAAAGATAAGTTTTTTATATACGCTTTTATTATATTACATAAAAGTAGCAATAAAAAATTTTAATGTTATACATAATAATTATATAATTTTTCGATGTGTGTGTGTGGGCGCGCGCGCGCGCGCGTGCGTACGTGTACATGAACGAAAAATTTTAACAATAATAGAATCGTCACTTTTAAAATATCGTTCCATAGTACGCTTTGGTATATTGAATTATTTAAATGATCTCATATTAATTAGGAATACCTTGAGTATCTCATATTACAACTTTTACGCCTTGTGTGCGATATTTTACGATCATCAAATCTAAAATATTTACAATTAAACAAATCAATATCACATGTTTTCCTATCAATTAAGATCTTATTCTAACAATGCATGCAGACTTTATTGCCAAATGTTTATTTTTATATAATAAAACAAGATTTAAAGACTAACTTCAATAAAATTTGACATTTCAAAAATCTTTCTTGCAACGACTACAAGCATGATCTTATAATGAATTTTCTACTAAATAGGTTTCACTCTAAGAGTAAAAAGTTTATGACAGAATCAACCACATGCGCTTTTTAATTTAGCAGAAACTCTGCTATTTTTAGGAGCCTATTCCATAATAGGCGACTTTACCTTAGCAACCATATCAAATAATGAGTATAATCCATGTGGTACTATTTTTAACTTTTGTACAATGAAACCTAAGTATATATCTTTATGTTCCTATGGAAGGATTTTCAGATTCCGATCTAAATTACTTTAATTCTTTTTATATGAAATTTTTATATCGCAATTCATTCAAAGACATTTTCCCTTCCAACTAAAATAGTAGTATTATTTAATTCTCCTTCAAAACATTATTTAAAACGTTATGACAAAATTGCTTTACCTTGTCCATTCAAGTGTTACCACAAAAAATTAAAAAAGAAACACTTGGCGCTGCTGGATCGAATAAGAAAAATTATAACAATTCAAACATTATATTAGGTGTACAACTTTGCTTTCGCCGCTTTTTTTCCGAAATTCGAGACTTTATTGTAAAAAACTGGTTATACATTTATGATTCAAAGTATTGTCCACCGCTGGCCACTACTTTCTCTCATCTTTCGGGCAGCGTACAAATCCCGCGACAAAAAACTGATCATCTTTTGAGGCGATCCACGAATCGATCCAATTTTTTACTTCTTCATAAGATCGGAAGTGCTGGTTAGCTAGGCCGAGTGCCATTGAACGAAACAAGTGATAGTCAGAGGGAGCAACGTCTGGAGAATACGGCGGGTGGGGTAGGACTTCCCATTTCAACGTTTCCAAGTATGTCTTGACCACTTTCGCAACATGGGGTCGAGTATTGTCATGCTGCAAAATCACTTTATCGTGTCTCTCGTTGTATTGCTGCAGTTTGTCTTTCAATTCTCGATTCAAACGCATCAGTTGCGTTCGATACCGATCGCCTGTGATTGTTTTAGACAGTTTTAACAACTCATAATACACTACGCCGAGCTGGTCCCACCAAATACAAAGTATGGCGTGAAAGACTTTCACGGAGCCGTGAATATTCGGTTTGGCCGTCTACGTGAAAGCATGGCCGGGAACTCCTCATGATTTTCTGCGCTTGGGGTTATCGTAATGAACCCATTTTTTGTCCCCAGTCACAATACGATGCAGAAATCCCTTCCGTCTTTGCTTTTCAAGCAGCTGTTAACAAGCAAACAAACGCCGTTCAACATTTTTCGGCTTCAACTCGTACGGCACCCAATTTCCTTGCTTCTGAATCATTCCCATGGCTTTGATGCGTTTTGAAATGGCTTGTTGAATCACTCCCAATGATCGTGCCAATTCTTCTTGATTTTGACACGAGTCTTGATCAAGTAATGCCTCCAATTCTGCATCTTCGAAAACCTTCTCTCTTCCACCGCTATGCCTTCGACGTCAAAATCACCGTTCTTGAAGCATTGAAACAATTCACGACACGTTCTTTCACTAATAGCGGCCTCACCATAAGTATTTGAGAGCATTCGATGAGCCTCAGCCGCAG